CAATATAAAATAAATAATCTACACTTGTGATAAGTTTTTTGAAATAATATTAATTTTTATAAAAGTGGTATTAAATAGTCACAACTAATATTTCACCCATACATGCACGAGATTTTGATTAAAAAAATAATTATTATTGATAAAAATAAAATTTATAAAAAAAATACTTTTGTAATTACATATCATTAATTTACATCAATCAACTAAATACTATAAAATTTTATCCAAAACTTTTTTATAAACAACATATGTAGTTGTATTTGAAATAATATTTTTCCTATCGCATATTACAATCTTAAGACTTTCTTTATTTTTAATTCTAGAGATAGTCTCATATAAAATAAAAAATAGACTTTAACAAATACAGATTAATATTAGACAAAGTTTGACCTTAGTTTTTATTTATGGTCATTGCAAAATTTATTGTTGAGGCTAAAACTTGAGATACATTCTTGTATCTAATAATGTTATAACTATATGCGGTATCAAGACATTTTCACCAAAATTATTTGTAGATATGGCCTTTGCTTCGATCATGTTAGAAGTTATCCTAGAAACTAATAATCTAGTACTATTACAAAGTCTATAAGTCAAAAAAATATTTAAATATATATTAAGGAAGAATCAAAATCTTTAGTGAAGGCAAATTATAAACAACTAATGTTAAACAATAAAACAAAAACACACTTACTCAATATCTCCAAGACATAGAATCAACTTTCTACAACGCATATTATTCCTACAAGTTTTCTCTAAATTTTCAATCTCATTAACTCTTTCCATGACATCTAAATGATTGAAAAATAACTATCAATGATCCTACAAAGTATATAAATTTTAAAAGCACTATTTGTCACATTATTACAAGTATTATAGAAGGAAAATATACAAAACAAAATTTGATCAACTCTATAAGATAATACATCACCAAAGTATACTCACAAAAACGAATGAAAGTTGAAGACTAGAAGTTGATCTTAAAAGTATGGCTAATGTAATAGTAATCTCTCATATTTTGTCTCACTCCAAAGTTACCCAAAACCATTATTTTTAAAATATAGTAAATATTATTATTCTTATTTAAGGTATTTTATTTTGATTTAATTTTAGATTATGCACTGTTAAATTAATTATAGAAAAAAAAATTAATTTCTCCATAAAATAATGAAACGATTACAATATTACAATTAAGATAAAATATTTACATATTTTATAATTAATAATTTTTATTATTTTTAATTATTATGGGTGCTATTAATGTGGGTGTGACCATTATTTCATAGCAAAATACATAAATATAGTAATCAAACGAATTATAAGGTATACTATTATAATTAATAAAAATTATTATTTTTATTTAAGATATTTTATTTTTATTTTATTTTATTTCTGATTACATATTGTTAGAGTAATTATAAAAAAAAGAACTTTCTCAGCATATGATATAAAATATGATTTAAAATTTAGTTCAAATTATTTGTTGTGTTTATTTAAATTATTTTATTATATTTTTAATTCAAAGAATTTTTTATTATTAGAAATTTTCAAAATAATACTAATTATTACTTTATAATTTCTTTTGATAATTATTTTTTTATTTTATTGTATCTAGAATTCAACAATTTTTTATTATTAAAAATTTTCAAAAAGAATTATAAAATATACTATAATAATTAATAAATACTACTATTCATATTTAAGGTATTATATTTTGATTTAATTTTATTTCTAATTATACACCATTAATGATAAAAAGAAATCTCTCGTGTTAAACCTAATTAAAAAAATATATTATATAAAATATGGCTTATTTTAATTATTTTATTTTATCTCTAATTCAAATTTTTTTATTATTAAAAAGTTTAAAAAAAATATTAACTATTACTCCATAATTTCTCTGAATAATTATTTTTTATTTTATAGTATCTCAAATTTGAAGTTCTTTTATCATTAAAAAATTTTTAAAAAAATTATATAATTTATTATAATAATTAGTAAATATTATTATTCTTGTTTAAAGTATTTATTTTTTATTATACATTGTTACAGTAATTTTAGAAAGAAAGAAAAACTCTCATGTTAAGCCTAATTCGAAGTATGTAATATAAAATATGATTTAATATTTATTTTAAATTATTTTTTATTTAAATTATTTTATTATATCTCTAATTCAATAATTTTTTTGTTATTAAAAAATTTTCAAAATGAAATATTAACTATTACCCTATAATTTTTCTGTACAAATATTTTTAAAATATTCATTGAGATCTTGATCATGTTTTGTTTAGGTAATAAGATAAATTTTTGTCGTAAAAATTTTAAATTTCTTTTTAATTGGTAGTTACATAAATTAATGCAATTAAACTAATTTCCTAATTTACTATTGAGAAAATTAAAACTAAAGAATATTATAGAATTTATTATTTTAATTATTTAAAAAACTCTTAAAAATATTATTATTCTTGTTTAAAGTATTCTATTTTGATTTAATCTTATTTTTTATTATACATTGTTAGAGTAATTATAGAAAAAAAAATTCTCTCATATTAAGCCTAATTCGAAAGCATGTAATATAAAATCTGATTTAATATTTAATTTTAATTATTCATTTTTTATTTAAATTATTTTATTATATCTCTAATTTGAAGATTTGTTTATTATTAGAAAGTTTTCAAAAAGAAATATTAACTATTATTTTATAATTTTTCTGGAGAATTATTTTAAAATTTTAGTTGAGATCTTAATTATATTTTGTTCAGGTAAAAAGAGAAATTTCGGCTGTGAATTTTTAAATTTCTTTTTAATTAGTAATTATATAAATTAATGCAATTAAACAAATTTCCTTTTTTACTATTGAGAAAATTAAAACTAAGGAATATTGTAGAATTTTTTATTTTTAAAAACTCTTAAAATATTTTTATTATTCTTGTTTAGAGTATTTTATTTTGATTTAATTTTATTTTTTGATTATATAATATTAAAATAATTATAGGAAAAAATCCTCTCGTGTTAAGCCTAATTCAGAAACATATAATATAAAATATAATTCAATATTTAGTTTGAATTATTCATTGTTTTTTATTTAAATTATTTTATTATATCTCTAATTTAAAGATTTATTATTATTAAAAAGTTTTAAAAAAATATTAACTATTACTTTATAATTTTTTTGGATAATTATTTTTAAAATATTCATTGAGATCTTATCACGTTTTGCTCAAGTTAAAAAGAAAATTTTCCGTTGTAAAAATTTTAAATATATTTTCAATTAGTAATTACATAAATTAATGTAATTAAACTAATTTTTTATTTACTATTAAAAAATTAAAACTAAAAAATATCGTAAAATATATTATTTTTATCATTTTTAAAAACTCTTAAAATCATGTGTACAAACGTAGATTAAGTTTAGTATATTATATAGATTTATAACTTGTCACTACAATTGCTAGTATTGTTACATGCCATTCATATGAAAATTTTAGGTGCTCTCTAACCATGTTGTATTGACTTCAAAGCTGCTAATTTGTATTATCTTATATATTTTTATAATAGAGACCATTGTTTTTTTTATAATTCTATAAATATTAATGGAATAAAAACTTAAAATAAAAATTCTAACTCATTTAATACTTAGAACATGTTTGTTTATAATTTTTAAAAGAATTTTCTCTTTTTAAAAATTAAAAATACAATAAAATCTTAATTATTAATATTTTATTGTGATTACATAGATAGTATGCATTAGTATTTATGAGATTTTAATATTTGAATCTAAGTTTAATTTTTTGTCAGTAATTAGTGTTTGTCTTATTGCTTATAATTATAGGTTGTGACTCATAACATAATCCTAATCGATATTTTGCATAACTATTTTAAATGTTAATTTAGAAAAAAGAATATTAATATTACATGACTATTAAATATTAATAATATTTGTATGAATGATTGATAATCACAAAAAAATCAGATTTGCAGTTAAATAAAATAATAACATAAATGATTGAATAAGTAAACTTATATGTCATAAGTTTCTCTCCCATAAGTTCAATTAAAAAGTATGTTATGTTACTTGCTCTAAAATTTATTAAAATTTGATTTAATTTTAATCATTTTTATATTTAATTTTACATCCTTTAAGTTCAAATAATTAAATTTAAAAAATTTTAATAATTAAAAATAATCCTTGTACAATAATATTTCAAGAACTTATTTTAGAATTTTTTTATTACTTTTTACAAATATATTTATCTAGAACACTTTACAATATGCAACAACCACTCCACCATATATAGCCTATGCACTCAATAAGCTCCATCAATTCATGATAGACCCTTGGAGGTAAATTAGAAAACTACCAAGAAAGTATTTAGGTACTTAATAGGAACACTTGATTATGATCTTTACTTTAAAGCTTCACAAACACTAGATATAATTAGATATTTATGAAATCTACCATAAGTTGTTATCTCTATATTGGATCAAGTATTATTTATTGGCTGGCTAAGAAACAAAGAGTAGTATCTTCAAGCAGTACATAATCAAAATTCAAGAGTTTGGCTTCCCTAATTTCAGAAATTTTTTACATACAGCCGTTACTCAATAAACTACATATTCCTCTAAAGAGAACATTACTAGTCTGGTGTGACAACATGGGTGCGGTGCTCTTAACCCAATCTTACACGGCAAAACCAAACATATAGATATTTGCTCATGCTCGTTACATGGTATAGAACATTTGTTCAGTAATGGGAATACGGGTGCCATTTTGTGTTGATTCTTAAACTGCACAAATGAAGAATGGAATGTCTTAATCCGATTTATATTGATGGGGTTGTGAACATAGGATTATAAAGAAAACTAATAAAATTCCTGAAACGAGCTAATAACCATCATAATTATGGAAGTAAAAACCATGGTCATCCCATCCTCATTCAGAAGCAATTTTAATTTGATTTACTGTACAATTTAGTAATATGTAATTACTTGATTTAAAAATGTTAACTCTTTCCATCCCTTGAGGTTGTGGAATGCATGAAGGGTTCCTTGGTGTTCTTTCTGGTCAATTTGAGCAGCTTGGACCAAATGCTACCTTTCTTACTTCCTCTGTTGCTTCCATTGACTTCCCTATCCCTGGCGAAACTTGTTGAAGCAAAGGCAATTGAATTGCTCTTCTTCAACCCATAATCAAAGCTAATCATGGAAGAAACAGGGTCCACCACATTAGAAGTGTGCCGCCGGTGGCGTCTGCGATAAGCCGGAGACTCGTAATTTAATGAAGAAGAGAAAGTAGACAAAGCTGGTTCATTGTTGGAGGAGAGTTTTAAGAGTTTGTCTCTTAAGCATGAGGAACAGACACCTGGTACTTGATTGTTATTTGGGTGCATCTTGCACCCTGCTTCTAATTCTGACCACTTCATGTTTAATCTGCTTTTTGTTCATTTGCATGCGTTCTCTCAATTTATAGATTCATTAGCCGTAGACTCGTAGATGTAATGTAATGCATAGGAAATGCACAATTACCACTTTCCTCGAAGCTTCCTGTTTTCCCTTATTACAAGGAAATAACGATGGCAATGAATCAAGCTCTATGACTGCGTCCAATCTAATCCTGCTTCTCGATGCTTTTTATTTCCTTAACCAATTTTTGCATATTGCATCTGTGATTACGATACACTTATTATCAACAATACTTGACATCCACGTAATTGATATTATGAATGTCTATTAATTTGAATGGTTCAACTAACATGTTTGGGTCCAAACTGAATTACACTAATAACCTTTTTTAATTAACAAAAATAAGTAATTGCATAAGTTAAATTAAACACACGCTTGATATTTTAGTTTGAGTATTATTTTTTTTAGTTTAATAACATGTAACTCATTATCAGAACCATTCAACCTCTCTATATTCACATCAATTTGAATTTTACCTATTTTTAAAGATTCAAAATATAAATTAAATATAATCACACAACAAAGAAATTTTTTGAAAAAAAACTTGTTATTCATGAACTTTCAAGTTAATGTATCAGAACTAAAAGACGCGTTTCATTCATTGGTAAATAAAAAATGTGAACAATATTATGTGAAAACTATTTCTTATAAGAAACTCACGAAGACAAAGGCTGCTAAATTGACATTTGTCCTTTGACTATGAAGAAGAAAACGTGGCAAGTCAAGGCAGCACACGTGAGATGAATAAATAAATTATCTCTAGGTCTCGTACCCCCGAAAAACTCAAAAGAAAAGGAAAGAGAATAAATTACATTTGCAAAAATCAAAGTTTGTCATGAAAAAGTAAAACTCATGTGATGGTATAATATTAATTCCGTTTTAAGTATAATATTTAATATTTAATTAAAATATAAATTATTTTTATTTTTTTAATATGATAAAAATATTTATTTTAAATTCTAATATTTTAAAATGATTTTGTTTACTTCAACTCGTTAACATTTTTTTTTTTCATTTTAAATATACTCTTTAAGATTCTTTGAACTTTTTCCAAGCTTATATCATTCTTCTTAATTATTATTTATTATGAAGATTGGTTGTTGAGCAATGAACGTGCACGTGGAGATATTCACTGAATGTTGCACAATATAATGGTCATCGTTTCTTGAAATAGCCATTGAAGAGGGAGACATGAGAACCTCGATTTCATGTCAAAACCCATTTAGACGATCGAAACACAAACTTCCATAAAAAGAGTAAACTTTGCGTTTTTTTTTTTAAATGATTGTGTGCGCCTTAAATATGATTTTGCACTGTGTTTACCTTTCAATATCGATTTATTATTATTTTTTAAAAAGAGCTCAAGCAGTCCAAATAACAAAAATAACTATAGTTTTTTTTTTTCTAATTTTTTGGTCAGCTAGTAGTTCAGTATATTTCGTTAGAGATTAGAAGCTCGCCTGTTTTTGGTCACAGAAAAAGATCATCATTTCTTTTTGGTCCAGAGAAGAAGATCGTGTTTTCATGACCCCATAAAGATAGTGTGGGCTTAATGGGCTCTTTGAATGACTCAATGAGGAACTCTCAAAGCCCAAAATAAGACAAATCTAGAAAAAATGTTTTATAGGAAGAATAATGAAAAATGAAAATGTGACATTCTACCTAAGAAAAAAAAAAATTTATCGGAAAACTTCTTAATTAATTTTTCCAAAAACAATTAAAAATTCTTTTTCTTGCTTTTCTTACAATGATTTAGTCTGTCACTGTGATATTCATAGCATTGAATAAAAAAATTATTTTCCCAAGATTGATGTAACCAGAATTTTTTAAAATATTAATCAATACTTATTTTCATTACATAATTAAGATTTACTAATCATGAAAAATTCTATATATCCATGTGATAACAGTCATCTAATGGCCGTAATTGCATCATTGCCAACCTCGATTTTATTGCAACTAAATTTGACCGCTGCAAAATAATTGCCTTAAAATTCTTCTTTTTTTTTTGGCGGGTTTCGAGATAATCAAATGTGTGTTCAGCAAATTTCAGTCAATAGTTTGCTTGTATGATATATACGATTTCATGATGCTAGTAGTATTTTGAGATAAATCATATTACTTTTTTTGGAGAAATACTCAAATATATACTGCTCAAATTATACTATTATTCTTTCTATTTTAAAAATTAATGTTTTCATTTATTGGGAATTAAATTAAAGTATGTTACACTTAATTTTGTAAAGCTGCGTGCACCACATTTTGTTTGAAATGTTGCTCTCTAAAACAACTGTAGCTTCCAAACTATCTATTGAGTTTGTGTCACAGTTTCGTGAAGTACATTTCAGTGTCCTCTCATCTTGAAAGCCTCGAGGAAATGAATTATCTTCACAGGGTATGTTCTAAGAGAGCAACACAAATTATATGCACAAGAGTGATGATGATAGAAAGCTTCATGGCAGGTCCATTGGTCAACGGTCAAAAATTTGTCTGGCTGCCATAATTTTGAATCAATGCTTACTAATTAATACCTGAACTACACTACCCTGTATTCCTGTTGTATTTTATTGGCTAAAGGGTGGGTGGTCCTAACTTTTTGGTATGCCATATTTATAATATCAGTTTCACTGTTTATTTCCACTGTTTCATACACACAGTTTTGACTATCACTGACATTTATAGACTTACTTTTCAGTGATCAACTGAAAAAGTTCATTCTGAGTGAAGTTAATCTTTAGATTTTCGGACACACGACTCTGAATCTGGTTTATAATCAATACATTCAAATGTACAGAATGACTAATGAATTGTGTCGTGCAGAAGATGCAGCGTATAGTGTTTTTTTTTAACATATATTTTTGTAGAACATGTTAAATATATAACAGTAAGTTTCTATAAAAGAAAAACAACATTTATTACACTGTTTTTTTAATAAAACCTTATCATATGAAAAAGATTAAATTATAATAATGCAAGTTATTCCAAAAATTAGTGTCAATTTTATTTGAACTGTGATTTTTGAAGATTGTGAATCAAGGAGAATACATGTATGTACGTTGAGTACTAGTAGTGTTATGTACGACTATGTACTAGGCTTTAGTTTTCGGCTCGGCTGAAAAGGACATTAACTTGATGAGATCCAATGGGCCAATACAACTGCAGCCTCCTGAATGTTGCTTGTTGAATCCAGTAAATCAGTGATTTGGGGAAAAAAATGTAAAGAGAACAGGTACATAGAAATCTAGGGGGACCCTATACTTTTTTATGTGATGAGCACGGATGAGTGTGTGGATGGTGATTCACGAAGTGGACATTGGACATGGATGAAAAGAGGTGGGCCAAAAGAAAAGGGTGTGCTGACATTAGAATCTTTTCAGTGACCCTGCGTGGCCGATAAGTTAGAACCAAAAACAAAATTAACGCAAGGGAGAATTAATATGAAAATAATATCCTTAAGTTTGAGACTCTTTTAGACAAAAATAGTTACATTGATACACTATTACACTCTAAAGTTTAATTCCTCACAAAGTTACTTATCATTTACTTTATATATACTTGGCATATAAATAAGAAAAATAAACTAACTTCCCAATCCTTATGAAAGGATTCAAAGGTCATTCTTGCTTTGTTTTCATTTATTTGCATTTCATTTTCATCATCTCTTTCATGCAATGTTACGATGTGACCTGAGACGCTCCGGGGTCTACTTGATACTTCCCACCAACCATGTCCATGGGGACAGTGAGACTCAGCCTCCTTGCACCAACACACTGTATAACATGCACCTTTCAAGTCCAAGTTGCATCCATGCATCTTTGACCTCACCTTCTATAACAAGTCCATATATTTCACATTGAAGTTCATCATTTAATTATGATTTAGCCATACATATAATATTACTTGGTGGTTTAATCCTTTGATCTAATTTCAACTTTTCATTCATGTCTTACAAGAAACATATGTCGGTAGCTATCTATTTTCCTGGGCCATTATCTAGTTCAACCTCAGTTTCGCCAGTTATGGACATTTTGCAGTCACTAACGAACATTCAAACACCATCCCAAACATAAAATAAAACCGTATGGTAACCATAAATTTCCACAATTTTCTCCAGTCCAGCATCTTCCCTATAAGGAGGGTATGGTGTTAGTGAGTGGAGAAGTTGAAAATTACGGGACTTTAATCACTTTATGGGGCATCAAACGAAGCATACCCTGCTGCAGACACTGCTTTCATTAGACTTAGTGTGTTCATTTTATTTATTTATTTATTTATTATTTCGATTTTTTGGGATAATATTCTGGTTCGACTTATTTATAAGCATTTTCTCAAAATTAATCCCAACTAAACATTCACCTGCTCATGTAAATAGAATCAGTGAATCACCTCTATTACAAGTATTGAATGGTTATTACTCATTAGATTATGGATCACGTATAGGAAGGACAGTGGTAATAGTTACAATAATAATTGAACTTTATATTGGATGACGGTAACTGCAATTAAACCTTTTATATATATATATTTACAATAAAACTTGATTTATTTATTTATTTTATTTGGTCAAACAATAAAACTTGAATTGAATGACTTAAAAAATGTGGTCTCGAAAGGCCTTATTTGACCTATGTTGTAATTTGGTGTTTAAATTTTATTTAGGATTATCCAAATAAAAAGTTCTACCTAGGGAAAACCATTTCAGATAATAAGCTTTTTTAAGGGATGAAATTACAAATTGTTCATTTCCTTTCGCCCGCAAGATATTAATTTATATCGATGTAAACTAATTTGATTATTTATTTTAAATTTATCAAAATTAAACGACCATAAAAACATAATAAATTTTTTATTCTTATACATTTTAAAAGTATATATTCATTAATTTTTATGCACAAAAATAATAAATAATTTTAAATTCATTTAAAATTTTATAAATATTATAATTCAATGATT